CCAAGGCGTTTCAACCCCAATTCAACAACGGTATCTCAGTCAGGGAATATTATAACATGTTCACCGCTACAGGTCGTCATTTAAAAGACCTTCCTCTGAGCATCGCTCGCGAGGAATTCAACAACGGTTACTCCCTGTTTGTCTTTAATCTCAATCCGGGCGAGGATGCTGATGCGCTGTCACCAGTATCTAATGGTAATTTGAGACTGGAAATGAGATTCAGGGTCCCGTTACCTCATACAACCACTCTGATTGTGTACGCGTGTTACGACTCAATATTGGAAATCGATTCAAAAAGGCAGGTCTTGGTGGATTTTTATTAAAAAACATGAATAACCACGAGCTAGAGAGCCTGATGCATCACCTGTTGGGGGACTTATTTTATGGGGTTTGGGCGTCGGATCACCTCCCGTTACTCAAACGCACGTACAGAGGACCCGCCTATTTCATCGTGAACACTCATCCTTCACACATGCCTGGAGAACACTGGCTAGCTCTGACTTTGGAAGAAAATAATCAAGCCACCTTTTTCGACTCTTACGGATTCCCTCCAGATTTTGATTTCTATCCCTCAAGCATCGTGTCATTTCTGAAAGACAGATCCTCAAAAATATTGTATCATAATCGTCAACTTCAAAATACTCTGTCTCTCGTGTGCGGTCATCACTGTGTTTATTATCTGTGTCATAAAGCGTGCGGGCTATCGGTGCATGAAATATTGGCGACCTACGGCGATGATGTTTATAAAAATGATGTTATGGTATTTGATTTTGTGAAGAAATATCAGCGATGTATCAAAAAGAGGGCCTCGTGCTCATTTAATCATGGAACGTGTTCTTTACAAATGTTTAAAGATTGCTACAAACTGTAAGATAAAAAAAACACTGTACGCATGAATAATTTGAAACAATAAAAGTATCTTTATTCCAAATTCTTTTATCAAGTTTTTTTATTACATAGACTTTCAGGGTGAGTATTTCAGCCATTCGGGGTTTTTAACTCTTCCGCTTCTTTGTTTATCCGAATTTGAGTCCTGTCCGTTCACTTCATCCTCATACTCTAATCCTAGGAATTTTGGTGAAAGGATCTTTTTTTTTTTCCTTCTCGCGAGAGGCTTATCTCCATTCTTCTCCTCCTCCTCCAATACAGCCGTTTCTGTCAAACGTCTGTATTGTTGACGTGCATGTGGATTGCTGACTGAGGAAACTGGGATGTTTAGCTCCTTTAAGGCCGTCAGGAAAGGGGTCCACCCTACAGGATCTGGGGTCTGCGTCTTCCTCTTAAACGGGAGCAAAAGATTTTTCAGCAGATCGAGTATATGAGACCCTCCCATCACACGATCCCGATACACAAATTCGCCTTTGGGTGTCCAGCTCTCACCGCTTTCGGATAACTTTTTCAATATGTATTTTGCGTTTTTGGAATCTCTGTTAGGCAGGGCTTTTAGAACTTCACTCGCTGTTTCATCCAGTCCGGCAGTAGACGGTGTAGAGCCAGAGTTTGCCTCACCTACATTATTTTCAGGCATGGGCTTATGCTGCAGTGTTAGTGTGACTCGGGGTTCCTCTTGCTGACCTTGTTTCATCAGAGCCAGAAACCTCTGCAGCAGAGCGTCGTATTTTTTAATTTTTTCATAAGAACTTAGTCCCGGTTCATTCAGTATTTCTCTCATTTTGGAATCCAAATCCTCTTCAACCGTCTGTCTGATAGAAGTCTCTGACGGGGTCAAACGTTTAAATTGATGCGGTGAAACGAGATACATCTTTTGAGCCGTCCTAAGAGACATTTTCTCATCTCCTGATAAGACCACCCACTAGCTCTCCAATTAAAGGCGCTACAACGCTGAGCAGGGGGAGAATAAAGCCACCCGTCTGATTTTTCAGAGCCAACTGCTTGCGTTTTAACCCTGTTCTTTTATCAGCCAGCAGCCTAATGATCTTTTTCTGCCTTTGCAATTTTTTATGTTGAGAAGGAGATATTTTAACGTTACCTTTTAAGATATTCAGAGCTATCTCACACAAGGCTTTAAGAAAGTCGGGTGAGCAGTGAGCGAGAATGTCTTTGCGTTTCTGTGGAGTAGCGTGATACAGAGCTCTGAATAAGGGAGCGTTCCTTTTTATGCGGGCTGACATGATGAATTAATTAATTAGGCTTAGGTAGATACACAACAGGCCACTGACCAGGGAGCATACCCGATCTCAGTCTGAAACGATCTGGGCAAGTCGGAGTCAGATCAACGATTAAATAGCCGTGAGGCTCTCTGGCAGCGTCTTCAAAACTCTCCATAAAGAAAGTCTTCTCTGATGGAAATATTTGGCGGGCTAATATATTCAGCTGCAATTTATCTCTGGGGTTCTTAAATAACACCATATAATTACTGTTCAAGCTGATGGTACGACTGTACTTCCCTTGGTGAAACACGTTCTGAGTCAACATCATCACACTCATATTTCTATGATGTCTGTATTGTGTAAAAATCTTGACCACTTCTGGATGCTCCGAGGCCTGGAAAATGACATCGTCCAAAATGACCAAATGATTTTGGTCGCGAGGAAACAGATTTTCATCATCAAAAGAATGAGGTAACCCCTCGATGAATTTAATATTTTTATTCATTTTTTGCAATTCAGCATACAGACTTTGAAAAGAAGTATAGATCCATACAATATTTTCTGGTACAACATCCATGACATGGTTACATTTCTGCAAAACATTTTTTACAAAGAAAGATTTCCCACATCCACTAGGGCCTACAATCATACATGAAAAGGGTGTTCTGAATCTTGGGTCAAATTCAATCTCCTGTGTTTCAGAGGAGAGAGACATTTTTTCAGTTAACACTTAGTAACCAAAAGGCAGAGTTGTTCCGTCGGGAAAAAGCCTTCTCTTGTCATACACCACACGGAACTTTTTCTGAAATGTGGCATTTTTTAGCTGAAAGCTTCTTTTATCTCGCCTGATGGTACATTGTGGAGCTTCTAAAACGACCCCTGTAGAACCTTTCAAATAACCTTCCACCAGGTCTTTCACACTATCAAAATTCACCCTCTCACTACATTCCTGAGTTTGAGTGATGCCTTTAACGCGCATCACAACCTTTTTCCGGTTTCTGGTCTGATACGCGTAGCTTTTGGGTCCTGTCGATGCAAATTCCTGAATCGTGTCACCTCCCAGCTCATCCGTTAAATCACCCAGATAATTCCCCAGCTCCAAGGGAGTCTCACCCGGTTTAACCACATAAATGAGGCTGTCGGTATCTATGTACAAAACTCGATGCTGAAGTTGTTCGAGACAGGTGTACAGTTTCAGACGAGCGTATGCTGTGGTGAACGCTGCGATAAACACATTATTTACCTTGTTGGGTGGAGAGATGCAGCGCTTGTTGTATTTCCACTGAACCATACACATTTTATCGGTTAGAAAGTGAAAGTAGCTGACTGTGTATTTACCTGAGAACAAAAAGTCAAAAAACTCATCAGTGACCCCTGCTCTCTCCTCCTGCCGATACATGATGTAGTTTTTTACACGCAGGACAGTATTTTGTTGTTTGGCAATTACTTAAAAGCTTCCCGAGTTTAGGTTTCTCTCTAGGCTCTCTGTGTTTAACAAAGCAGAATGAATTACGACAGATCCGGTTACAATCTGCGCAGCGTACAGAGCGGGACTCTTGGAGAGTACAGCCCGGATCGTGGCATACGGAACAATGACCCCCGCAGTTATGTGTGCTGATGTTTTCGTAACCGGTAAAGCAGTAACTGCAGATGTACTTGGTGCCGGTGAAACCCAGCAGGTTTTTTACCCCATAATAATGATTTTTGAATAAGAACAGAAAAAGAGGATTTGAGCGATCTGGAAAGTCTGTCTCGAATTTACAAAGCAGTGCTTCCCCATCGCTTTTATAGAATACCACAATTTTCCTATTCACTATCTTTTCAAATTTTTGCACATCGCTGAAAGTCACGGGGGTTTGCTCAGTCAAACCTGCCATAAGCTGCCACTCTCTAGCTTGATGCGTGGCTTCTGCGTCTGTGAAAGACGGGTTAAATACATGTGCTAGACTGATTGAGAAACATAGCCGATTAGAACAATTGTCAATGATATACAAATGACGTTTCTTTTTATGAATCAGCTCACAGTCTAATGTTTTTACAGCTTTACGCTTTGCACCGCCTGTAGGGTTTCTCACAACCTGAAGAATTAGTTCTAAGTTGCTATTTGGTGGGAGCTCTGTGTTGGACTGTACAAGCTCGTCTAAAAATTCCTGAAACCCCGCCAGAATTGAATCAGGTTCATCATTTACTTGAACAATCGTATGACGAGAGAATCCCTCCCCGCTTAATTCTAACTGCACAATATCGTTACGAGCTGCTGATTGTCTAGCAGAGTTAGCAAGCTCGACAAGTATGTTATGTACCTGTGTATAGAATTCTGCGAGATTAGGAACGTCACGGGGGCATGCAGCAATCACATTGAAAGGACGTCTTATCTCTGTAACATTAAAATGCTCACGTTCAACATGGGGTGCATGGGTTACCTGACTCTGTTCAGGGGTGTCTACCACCTGCTGATCCCGACTCATGTCGGGCTGAACCATTCGGTCAGGTATGGGGGCGGTGGAGGAAGGAGTCAGGTTCGGCTGTTGAGGTAGGCTGGATGTGGGATTTTGCAGAACATTACTGGAAGAATCACTTTGATTACTTTCAACGTTTTCTATAACCCTCTGATCGATATGCCCTCCTTGCTGCTGAAACTGACCCTCTGTAGGATTAGGGGGGGTTAAGGACACATTTTCTTGCAACACTGATTGAGGGACAGAAACGTTTAATTCTTGGATCGCTTGTTCTAATGAGAGTAAATGCTCCAGATTTCTATCTGCGTTTATTTGTTCTTCAGGGGATGGTGGATATATATTGACAAAATCGGATTCATACTGAACAGGTATATTCTTAAGGTCATTAACAGCCTGTACTATTACATTCAAAGCAACTCTCATTTGCTGTTTATCCATATTTTACAAAAGTCACAAATTACTTAGTTGTTGAAAAGTTCTTCCATCAGGATGTGGCAGGTTCTCAGAAGCACCCTGGATTTTGATCTGTAGCCTTCGGATCGACGTGACCCACAGGTCGGTATCCGTTCCACCGTTGATGAAGTTTCTGTAATACGGAAGAAAAATCATAATTAGGTTTTTGTCATTTATACATTTATTATATCCCAAACTAATTGTAAAAAATAAAATAAATTTGAATTTAAATTAGAAAATCTACCTGTAATCATGCGTCTAGCGGTCTCCACCTTGGAGGCAATCCTAGTAATGCTTTGCTGGAGGGCTCGTACCATTGATCGTAGTTTATTAAAGGTCGGTCTCTTCTTCTTCTTCTTAATGGCGAGTTTTGCACGCCTTGGGGCCGAGGGTACTGTGAATGAAAAAACACAGAGAGAGAAGTTAAAAGTTTAAATCATGAAATACAATCGGTATTGATTTAAGAATATCAGGGTTAAAAGGCACACTTATTATTAACTTACGGGGTAGTGGGTTTTCCCTCTCTGATGTGCTGATTCCAGCTTCAGTGAATGAAAAAATAGAGAGAGAAAAAAACAGAGAGAGAGGAAGAGAAGTTAAAACTTTAAATCATGAAATACAATCGGTATTAATTTAAGAATTTTAGGGTTAAAAGGCACACTTATGATTAACTTACCAGGTAGTGGGTTTTCCCTCTCTGATGTGCTGATTCCAGCTTCAGTGATAGGAAGTGGGTGGTCTGGTGGGCCAGCTTCAGCGTGTGCTACCGCTGTTGTTTCAGAGCGGGAGACGGTCAGCGCTCGTGGGGAAGTATCGGGTGAAATTATTATTACAGATGCGTCATGATGGTTGATGCCCTGTCGTTCTTTCTTTAGGGTAGATGTTTTTTCAACGGATAGTTGAAATTCAGGAAGTAAACTCTTTCTGACTTTGGAAAGAGTCAGCCTGTTTGTTGAATGTTTCTGACCAGGTTTGAAGCCGGGCTTCTGGTCCAGCTTCAGGTCCTGCTTCGGGTCCTGCTTCAGCTCCGGTTTCAGGTCCTGCTTCAGGTCCTGCTTCAGCTCCGGTTTCAGGTCCGGTTTCAGGTCCGGTTTCAGGTCCGGTTTCAGGTATTGCTTCAGGTCCGGTTTCAGGTCCTGCTTCAGGTCCTGCTTCAGGTCAGGGTTCACCCGAGGCAGAATACCAGGGAGATGGCCGGGTAGGATTCTTGGGTTATGATGAGGAGCGGGCTGTCCATATTGAGAATCTATTAAACCTACAAGATTTAATAAGGATTAAAAAAAAAAAGTAGAAAAATAAAATGGTTAAAACAATTTAATAGTATTTTACGATATATTGAAATAAAATTGAATAAGAGGTTTAAATATATCCTACCAAGATCCGTTATGAAATCATCCAGATTGATTTCAGAGGGTTCTAGGAAATAAATTAAAATATATATCGTCATTATCCTGAGACAGATCATATAATCCCACCAATAGGGTTTATTACAGTGAGAACAAGTTGTTATTTCTGACAAAAAACTTATACCTCAACTTAAAGCAAACTTTATGCTCTATGACATTACTCAATGAAAGTCTGTGGTGTTAAAACAGAGACAATCCATTACGCTGCATACGCAGAACATCAACTCAGTATCTTAAAGTATATTAAACATTGCTAAAATGCTGTAGCTTATAAATACAGTTAGCTAGTACTTAACTTACTCCGGGATAATGCGTTGACCTCCTGAGACAGCTCAAACCCAGGGTTATGCATTTCAGCAGATACAACACGGGTAGAAGGATGTGAAGACATGATCTCGCTTACCTCAGTGTCCCGGATGCAGTTCAGTCAAGGGACCAGAAGAAGTGTTCTTAAATACACTTTTTGCAGCTCCATCTAATGCCTTGTGACGCTGTGACGCTGCTTTGTGACGCTGTGGCTCCACCTTATCAGCTGATCAAATCAGGATGTGCCAAAGACAGATACCGCGACTTTTGAATAATGCTACGCCACGCTGTTCCCAAATCTAATAAAGACGCTGACACATCCTCTTCCGTATGAAAAGAAATCTGATTCAGACCATGGTCAGGAAATCCGCAAAGAGTCCCTCATCTTTTTCTAAGTGGTGTATTTTTTACCCCCTCCCAAGGTCCGAGTTCCTCCTGGTGGACACTATCGCCTTTGTATAGAATGCCCCGGTCAGCCGTCATTAAGTCACCCATCTTAAATGTTTCCTGAGTGAGAACAGGTCTATCGAATTAGATAACACCGTGGCGCGGTCCGAACCCCATCATGGTGCAATCCCTCATCAGGAGACCCTTAAGACGGACACTGACGCTTTTGTATAGAATGCCCTGGTCAGCCGTCACTAAGTCACCCATCCTTGCTGGAGAAAGGTTGGGTTCACACAGAAGCCTAAAGTGACCCAGATCTTTTCCACTACAACCTGTGTCTGAGCGAGCACAAGAAGCGGCTAGAAACACAACAACCATGGTGGATGATAATGTAGGGGAGCATTTTATTTATTCATTTTTTCTAACCATCTTAAAAAGATTGTGTTTTTAAGTTTGAGAAAGACTGCTAAATGCAAGCTAAACTTTCCCTCCATGTTTACTTCCGTAAACGTGGAGCAAGGCGGCTTGTGACGTTATTGAAGTCTCTACTGCGCATGTGGGACGCTTAAACCGTATGAATGGACAAAATTACACATTTGGTTTTTTAATAGACCGATAAATATACATGTGCATCATGATTGGTTGTATATATATCTACATATAGATATATATCTATATCTATATATATATCTATATATATATTTAGATATATATTTAGATATATAGATATATGGATCCTAGTCAGTGAGGCAGAGGGCCACATAGAAAGGCACAGGGCAGAGTGAGGGGGCCGCAGCCGCTGCAGCGAGGGGTTGGGGGTGGGGGTTGGTGGGATGGCTGCACGGTGTGAGTGAGTTGAGATCACAAAGCTGCTCCAGCTGCTGCTGCAGGCAGAGGCTGAATGCTAACTGTGATTATATAAGAAATCAATACAAATACTTAAAAATAATAATTTAATCATCATAACCGTCATTAAAATAACATAGTTCATTTTTATATAAATTTTATATTAATTTTATATAAATTTTAGATTAATTTTATATTAACTTTATATTAACTTTATATTAATTTTATATTAATTGAGGCGGGACTTCCGGCTGTCACTTTGGAATGTGGGCGTGGTTTTCGTGATTTGATGAAAGGTAGGGTATATTCTTTTTTAGTGTGTTACTAAGATTCTAAATCCTGAGATAAACATCCTGGGTCTGTGTATGATGGGTTGAGAGGTTTATATTGACCATCCATCCATCTATCCATTTTCTGACACGCTTAATCCCAAGTGGGGTCACGAGGGGTACTGGTGCCTATCTCCAGCTGTCTACGGGCGAGAGGCAGGGTATACCCTGGACAGGTCGCCAGTCCATCGCAGTACATTTGACTAGTACATTTTATTTGACATAATAATGCCATGGCTCCTGCTGTCCTCCCTGAGCTCCAGAGCACATCATCACCTTACCTCTGTTGTCTGGGTGATCTGTCCTTAAAATACAAAAGCAGTTTTAGATCCTGGACGCACAAAAGCGCTAGATGAAGGGATGGTTATCCACCATAGGTAACCACCAAGCAAAATCTGGTTGAAAAGACAAGATGATTTACATCCAAACGTCTACATTTGGTTAAAATATGAAAGGTGAAAAGCTGTAATTTTAAAATCATCAAAAAGAAGTTGAAAACTGGGTCTGCAGCGTCTTTTCAGTGTGTTTTATTGGACTAAAATAGGACAAAATCAGACCGACCAAACACAGCCCAATCTTCAAAATCATGGACTAAATCAAGAATATGATGTACCGACCAGATTTAGCCTAAAAACCAACATCTAAATAACGTCTGGTGTAAGGCTCCTGGGCTGAACTGGGATAATCTCAGGAAAATCTTGCTTGACCAAGGGACGCTGTTGCCATGAGTTAAACAAAGGACAGGTGGCTGGATAGAAGCTCTTCCTATTTGATGATGGTGAAGCATGTGAAGTGCCAAACTAGCCTCAAACCCCTGGGCCTAGGTGAATGCTGACCCACTGAAATCCTGTTAATTGTAACATACTATAAAGGTGAATGTTTACGGTCGTCAAACTGAAATGTTGCAAAAGTGTTCCACAATTATGTGAGCAACTAATATTGTCATGATCCATCATTTGCTTTGGATTTTTATGAAGAAAAGAAAAAAACAAGGCGCTGCCCTCAGTAGGAAATCCAGGTCAACCAAATTGAAAACCAGGGCTTGAACCCACAACCCTCCTTTTACAGAGAAAACTCCTATATCAAGCACCACTGGCGCCACTGTTTTCAGTATTCTTAAAGGGGCTATTCTACATATTTCCTCTGTTCGGGACACATGAATGAAATTAATAGGTCGTTAACATGTTCATGCAGAACTGAGTATCTACTGAGGGGCTAATTGACCCACTGCATTTAGCTGTGTCACAGGGACACACAAGGACCAAAAAAAAACATGCTGGGCAGTTACTCTTAAGTATTAAACAGCCCAGGTTCAGGTTTTACAGTAGTGCTGTTTGGTAGCTTTAGGTTTAGTGAAAAAAAAAGCATGTTTTGCATTTTGTCTATAATCTGACCTTGTTCTAATAGCACTGATCTCCTCAGCTTTCTAAGCTAATAAAGCTCTCGCTTTATCTGGCACCTTCCATGCCAGGTTTACCTTTATATTGTACGTTTATGTTTTTTGTAAACATTTGATAAAAATATATATTTCATGCTGCATGCTTTCATGCTGCTTTTTCATACTGGCTTTACAGCGTTAAATATGCTGTATGTTTGATACATTTAAGGTTACCTTTAAACAGCTATAGAACCTGTTAAAGACCAAATCAACATTAGTACTATCTAATTTAATAGGCTACTTTTGGAGCTAGGAGAAATCACAGCATTTCAATCTGGATAAGAATAAAACATGAATTATTAGGTTATTGTGTTAACTAATCATAAGGCAATGAATGAATTAGAATCAGAGCTTTAGAAGTTTCATGTATGATAAAAAAAACAATAAATTCATAGATGTATCTTAACGGGTACTGGATAATTAGGTTACTTCTATTCACTCAACCCATACATTGCATCTTAAAGTTCTTCCAAGGTTTCTTGTTCACCTCAATGCACTAATGTCTAATATAAAGCGGATCAAGAACAGCTCAAAATAGATATCTCTGTTTGACTGGAGTGTTTAGTTTGCATGGACTGCTCTCTTTGTGAGGAAGCATTGGATTTTCATATTTCAAAGAGTTTAATTCCATTTAATAGTATTTGAATATTTAAAAAATGTCTTACCGTTTGAATGTTTAATTTCTAAAAATAAAATATGAAACGAAATAAATACGAAATAAACATGTTCCGAAAGTACTGCATTACCCCCTAAAGCTCAATGAAGAGGGAGATCTACTATTTGCTGGTTGCAGTGTTGCTAGGCAACAGAAAAGTATGGTTCCCATACTGCATTTACTGCTATGGTGGCTTGCTCCAAGTAGACATAATCTTTCTGTATAACAGTCAGACTTATCCTGGTTTGTACACAGTCCTGAAGCAGACCGCATCAGAGTACAATTGGGAGCTGAGCAAGACCACCTCAAAATGTAACACTCTGTCCACTTGTTTGGTGTGGGCCAGAGTAGACCACCAACAACAATAAAAAGAAAACAAACACACCAAAGTAAAATTTGTGGAGGAAGGACACATAAGAGATCTTATAACAGGTTCAGAACTTAGCTAACTTAGCCAGCGTTTGCCCGACGTCCCAGAATCTCCTAAAACACAGGCAAACGCTGAACTTTCTATTTATTTTCTCAATTTTGGGCACATACGTAGAGTATTCGCCTGGAGGTGAACGGCCGGCATAAAAAGATTTATTTGATTACGGATTACGGTATTAACCAGGCTGCTGTGTGTCGCATAAAAAAAAAGATTGAATAAAAAAAAAAAGAACAAGAAAGAAAGAGGGTTTGCAGTTACAGCAGATTCAGCATCATATCTGCTAGGACGTTTGTTGGTCGTGGGCGTGAATGCAGGGAGGATCCATCACCCTCACCTTCTGGCTCACCCTATGATGGGGATGGAGTCTGGAGGAGAACTGACGGTTTCCTCCTGTGAACCCCTTTTATACCAAAATGCTGCCAATAAGCCATTATACAGTAGCTGGAAGTTAGAAATACGTCTGGAACACGTCAGATATGTTGATATGAGTTGGAGAGAAGTTCTCGATAAGTTACGCATCAGTTATGCACAAGTTACTAATAGGTTTTGGATAAGCTATAGTAGACCCCACGACTTAAGAGTGACGTACACTTAACATACGTCAAAGATCAGATAACTTACCTGTAACTTATGCCCCATGTATGGAACCTTGAATCCTTTAACACATAGTTTTCAACAAGCTGACAAAAAAGGTTAATTTAAGTAAAGATTTAAATTGTTGTGTGTCAGTTTGCTGAGACATGACTCTCATCATTTAAAAACCTCCATCCATATTTTGTGATTTAAAGCTTTAACCCATATCAGACTATGAATCACTCATTCCCTTTGAGAAGCAAACAGAGATCAGAAGAGAACCCACCCATCCTGGTCCATCGCAGGACAACAACACACAGGACAAACATCCATTTATGCACACACTCACACCTAAGGACAATTTAGAGAAGCCAATCAACCTAACAGTCATGTATTTGGACTGTGGGAGGAAGCCGGAGTACCCAGAGAGAACCCACG